AAAACGACTCTTTTGAATTTACAGTGTAGCAAATACAATGTTGCTCTTAGAGATTTTATAAAAAAATAAATAAACATGATAGTATAGTTTTATTCGAAATTAATAGAATGACATAACTATAAGAGTAAAGCATAATCTTTCTCCGTTTAAATAAACACTGTATTTTTTTGATCTCTTTTTTAATGCATAAAATTGTATTATAGTATTGTGGACCTTTTTAAATTTTCTTTTGATAGGGTGGATTGAACAGCGAACTTACTATCACGGCCTACGTCACTATTGCTTTACTGGAGGCAGGTTTTGATGAGAAGGTAATAGCTTACTAACTGTATTTTTTAACCTACTGATATACAAGGCTTTTAAGGTTTATACCGACGGTTTATTTGTTACAGCCATTAAGGTTATTGACTATATTTCAGCTTATTTGCCATGTCGCACAACACGCCAGAACCTATATGTTAATTCTGTTTCCCTAAAATTCAAAACATTTCCGTGCATTTTTGGAAAGGGTCGCCGGTATAGCCGACTCTACATACTTTCCGAAAGGGCTTACATTATACTAAACATTACAAAGGTTCCGTATCATTCAATTTCTTTAAATTGGTAAACGGTGCACATTTTCAATACTCCAAATATACTAAACTTGTGTCTGGCAACCTATATCAACTGGCATATAGTTGTTTCTAAATGCCAAACTTCACTTCTTTTTTAAATTAAAAGTTAAACCTTAATATTTTTTTTAATTAAAAGTTTACACTTTAATCTATATATATTTTATTGACAAAAACGTATTACAAATCTATGTGATGTGTAATTTTTGTATTTTTCAATAAACGTTATTTTAGCTCTGTTAAAAAAAATCCCTCATTTGAGTAACCTTTATAAAAAGTTAAAATGTTCTTAAGGAGAATTATAGCATGCTAAGTGCGAACCTTTGAAAGAAAAAGAGTTCTCCCCAAATTCGATTGTGATATAAATATAAATATAAGCTTTATTCAACGGTCGTTCAACACGCCTTTGTTGCCATGGCAACGTTTGCTAGACAGAATGCTCAATACATGTTCCCCAAAGGAATTTTAATTTTAGGATTGTATAAAAAACAATTAGACGCCTGTTTTTTTTGCATATGCATTTAAAAAACCCATAAAACTGCAGAGAGCCGCATTATTGTTTATTGACAATGAAAATTTAGTTTCTTTTCTTTAAAAGAAGTCTTAAAACTATATATGAGTCATGCAGGAACATAATATTCGAGGACCATTTTACAACACTATGTTTTCTAAGGCTTATGTGACCGCGTGGTTTTAAAATGTAAAAATGTTTAGCATTGTTGGATATCATCACTAACAGAAAATGCAAGCTCTTGTAAATTTATAACACTTCATGATGCTTATTTTGCTTAGACATCTATGGTTTCCAGAGCTCTTAATTGTATATCGCGAAATCTGGATACAATTCAAGATTCCTACACCACTTCATTAGTATCGTACCTGATGGTGCTGGCAGATCATCCGAAAGCAGGAATAATGATAAGTCGTTTGAAAAACAGGGCGATAAGAGAGAAAGGTGAGTGAAGGATCGCTATGAGTGAAGGATGGCTCACTCATTCGCTATGCTCATGCACTCGCTCGGTTTGGGGTCCTTCACAACTCGTGCATAAAAATCGTTCGCGCTCGCCAAAATGAAGTAATTTCTATTTATTTAGAAAAATGAAGAGATGTACTATATTTAATGCAAAACACTCTTCACACAATCATCAGAATTACTTCACTAAAACAGTGGAAAATTAAATATATAATATACATAATAAATAATAATAGTACAAATTATAAGCAGTGGCGTAGGCATGCCGATTTATATAGTCACGCTATGCAAATTTCATTTTATTATCAATATTAATTTCTTTAGAAATTTATTGTTTTCCCATGTAGTCAATGAACACAAAAATAATAGCATATCATGACTAAATTGTCGGGCTTGCTACGCCACTGACTATATCACAAAAAATGAGAAATTATACCACGAGTGACAAATTATTTTGGCATTGATTCGCAATTCTATTCGTTTATTGCTAAATTGTTACATTTATTTAAATCTTGTGCAATTATACAGTTATCTTGGTTATAGCAATTATGACTTTTTATTAGAAGAACAACTTTACTGGTCATCAGGCAACGTAAATCAAGCACGGTTTGATTATTACCACAAGACATATGCCGCTGATGTAGAAATGACCAGCTATGCTTTATTGGCCTACATCAAGCGCAATGAATCTCCTAGGGATTTGAAAAAGATTGTGAAATGGTTATCAAAACAACGAAATTACTACGGAGGCTTCTCTTCCACACAGGTATGCAAAAAAGAGTATATTGTTTTACTTCGTTTTTCAGAAATGCATCTTAACTATTTTGAATAAGAAGAATTTTAGGTGAAACACCTGGAAAAACGTTCGCTGTATTTTGTGCTATAGTTATAATATCGAGCTTTCCTTTTTACGTCCAAATAATTTAGGACACCTGTGTAGCGTTACAAGCTCTTTCTGAAGTCGCTGAAAGATTTTATTCCAAAAGTGATCTTTCGATCTTGAATGTATCTGCGAATATAAAAGATGGTTTTAACCATACTTTCTCAGTTACTGACAAGAACAAATTGATTCTACAACGCGTAGAGATTCCAAGTAATTTCTTGCCAAATACATTGGGTATAAATGCATCTGGTTCAGGATGTGCTTTATTGCAGGTAAATAACGATTTTCTATTATTCATATATAGGAAGTACCTATCTCACATTTACATATAAATTTAATAGACAAATATATTAAATGTACGCCTATAGGGCTTTATAAATTATTTAATAATCGCTGAGTCGGTGCAGACAACAATGCGAGGGTACTAATTTCGCCCAGAGATTGGGAATTACACCCGGGTATTGTGACAGATCATACAGCGGAATTCAAAGTTGTCTAAATTCTATGTGATGGACGTTGGATGGTTTTGCTAGTTATGCGCATGAAATTTAAATCAGTGGATCACCGTTAATCACCAACTTTCTGATAGGCTGAGTCAGAAATTTGTATTTCAGTATTAACATAGGCAATTTAACTGCACATTCCCAAAGTTTTTATTTTTATTAAACTGTCTTTAAAAATTTCACCAAATAAAATGGAAAAATAGTAACGAATCCCATAAAATCGTCAAAAAGCATGCATCAAAGACAAAAAGGTTTCCTCCTCAAGATTAAAAAGCGATAAAAGAACGACTCATACTCGATAAAAAGCTTTCAAATGCTTTAAATCGGCACTTTCATATAGCATAGTTGTTCATCATATTACGGGTTTGTTGTATGAAGAAGGATGCAGTTTATTTATATATAAGCTTGATACGTCGTTTTCCAAAGTCATATTGCGCCATGAAACGCTCTTACACCATCGCTTTAACTTCAAAAGTTTTGAAAACGTAAATTGGTATTTTAATGTAACCTGTCGCTTCAAAATCAAACAGTCAATGGCATAGATATTTGAAGAGTATTTGAGGTACTGCACTTGAAGATTTTGTACTGTTTTCCTGAAACCTCATGATCAAAATTAATGTTGAAATTTCAAAAGTTACGTATGTTCGTAGGGTCTCTAAACACCAGTAGAAGACTGACGACATCGCCTGCAATGTTATGATTATATTGTACCAAATAATAAAAATATTGGCTCTCGTCGCTTTACAATTGGCTAATTCCATAATATAAACTTATAGTTATAGCTAATTTAGACACAGGAGATTATATATTCTTGGTTGAAAATGGAGACGGGTGCTGCATGCATGAATTTCTAGTTTAATTCGAGAAATTTTGGCTTGACATGCGAAGTCTGTTTTGCGCTACACTATAGTTAGACTATATACTTTTGATTGTTGTCATTTGCATTTTTCCCCTTAGTGTAGAGTGATGTTTATGCATTTTTATGGCGAAGTAATAATTTGCTTTTCGCTGAAAATGAATATGCACGTGCTCGTTTTCACTTTTAAGTAATATAAAATAACATATTTTTTGCGAATCGGTTGTTAACACAGATATTTTTGGGGTTTTTTGTTGAGAAACAGTGAAAAGTTGTGCACGAAATGATCTATTTTCATTTTTACAATGTTTGTATTCTACACCTAAAACGCATTTTATTTCAAATAGTTAACTTTTCACTTTCCATTTATAGGTTTCTGTGAAATACAACATTCCCGTTTTTGAATTACCGCCAGCCTTCAGTGTGAACGTTTCTGTCCATCCACGCGGAGCAAAAGATGAGGAAGAAGAAACTCCTTCATGTCAACCTTTGCAGTTAAGAATACAAGCAAGGTGTGTGTATTAAATTCTCTATTCTATCACCTATCTCTGTAATTTTTTTGGAAATTGATAGCTCATAAAATTCGTGCAGCTGTATAAAACATACCAGAAAACTTCTCAACCCAATGAACCTAATTTAAACATGGGTTAATTATAAATGGCCGAAGCTCATTTACTTACAAACTCGATTTATTCGTTTAGATGGCTCAAAAACGATGTTTCAAATATGGCTATAGTTGATGTTAAGCTCGTGTCGGGATTCACCGTGAACGAAAAATCTCTGGAACTGGTAAAAAAATTCTCATATAGAAATTTGTAAATAGGATTTTTATTATTGCTATACTCTCAACTGGTGTAACAGTACGTGTTACGGTGAAAAGACGAGTTACGTGGTACGGGCCGCTTAGGATGGTTTAGTCGGGGGTGGGTAATGATTTTTACAGCCTGCCAACATGAATAAAATGAATGTATGCAGTCCACTTAGCGAAATTCCGCGGCTCTTGCCCTGACGTTCTTGGGAATAAAGAGGATGTGTTAAATAAATAAATAAAAAAAATATATTGACATTATAAGCTATATACTTTTAAAGTATCCAGAGAAGCTGCATGGATCTCAACCTGGTGCGGGGGGGGGGGACTAAAAAAAATGCTGAGAATTTCTTAATTATCTATTTCTTAAGTATATCTTGATTATTTACATAATATTATGTCAGCTTTATTTTCAACTAGCTATATATCTCAATATATAATCGACACTACTTTTAAGAGAGGAAATAAACTGTGTGTGTCCACAATCGTCAAAATTTTTCGCTAATTCCTATGGAAATATGCTTTTTTTAACCCAATGCACTCATAACAATTATAAGGATAATTAATTTTAGAGTGCTAAAATTATGTAACTCGTAAGTCAGAAACATTGGAGCAAAAACCTTGTTTTTATAGCGATTTACTGTAGCTATGAAACATGAACAAAACACTTCAGACTGAGCAACAGGGTTCGAAAATTTCTTCGTTAAAAATTAGATACAAACCCAGCGCACAAGCTTGTCATTTAGCTACACTTTTACATCGTTTATAAAAATATTCAAATTGTTGTTGCTATATAACATAATATCGCTGTATAACGCTTTTGTCTCATTCCTTTGTAGAAGTTAAAGGGAAACAAAAAGTGCACGGCGAGCCAGGCAAATAGGGCAATCTTAAAACGATTTGAAACAGAAGGACAACACGTTATTCTGTATTTCGATGAGGTAAACGCATACATTATTAACTACGTGTTTTATTACTATTATTACTATTATTATTTTAATTTAAAAACTTCGCCGTTTACATTAAATTAATTATACAAATACTTCACAAAAGGACATACCGGGCAGGGCATCCCCAACAGCAAAAGCCAATTACAGCGGACTTTATAAATTTTCACAGAGCCGTGCAACAGCTAAAATACAATAACATTGCCAAAAATTTGTGACATGGTGATTTGCATATAAGTAATTTGAGTATAACTTCCAAATTAATGGCCTTTAACAAAATTTCAACACCTAAAATTGCCGTTACACTGGATGTTGCCCACTGTTTGCCAACCTCTTGATCAATAAAACAGCCGTTTTACAACGCTTTAATTATCGAATTAGTTACCTTGGGTAAATCCATGTTCCACCAACTGACTGTGTTCAATGTTTATATACGCTTTGTATGGTGTAAGTGCCTTATGAGACTGATAATATTTTTAGTGTGCAACCGCAGAAAAAATCCCTACCGTACTGGAAAATTCATATTAGGAATACGAAAGGCATGCAATATCTTTAACAAAATTTCTTGGTATATTACACGTCAATTCATCAGCAATCCGAATCGAAATGTTGTGAGCGATTTTATAAGTTTGTTGAGAGAACACGCCCAAAATTTTGGGCAATATATTTTTAAATTATGAGGACTGCAGAAATACCCAAGGCAAATGAAGAACTCGGTTACTAAAACGTTCAAAACAGCTTTTCTATCCATCTAGAGGTCGGCAAATAGTCCTCGAAGTCTGTGGCTCAGACCTTACGACGTTTTATATTTTCACTAAATGTTGTATTTTATAGTAAAACTCTAACGTCATTATGTATGGATTAAGCCATTTCTGTCACCAATTTCTGGTAATGATAGTAAAAAAACCTAATGATAGTATTTACATTAAATTATAATACTACATTTACAGATTTATTAACCATTATTATTGATAAGTCTTTTAAACGAATTGATTCAACAGTCGACATATACGTATTAACTATTTTAAGCGGTAGACCATTCCAGGACACCGCTGCTCGGGACGTAGTGTATAGTAACTATTTTTAAAGCCACCTTTTTAAAATTATTTCTAAACTAGTGTAGTTTCTTTACGTAGCGTCAATCTAATTCAATTTTTATATAAATGAATTTTTCTCCAGATAAAAGAGGTGGATTTCTCGCTGGATATCACGCAGAGTACATTAGTAAAGAACGCCCAGCCAGGTGTTGTCAGTGTCTACGATTATTACAAACCAGGTATTAAAATACTAAGATTAGTTTTTTTGAAATAGCTCAGAAACAAAACATGCATGCATAAATATGACAACGCGGTAAAAGGTTACGCGCTTGTGCGAGGTTTTAAAAAATACGCGAGAAAGTAATCACGTAAATACTGAGTGAAGAAAATTTGGTCGCAGTTACTTTCATTCGTAAAAAAATTTTACTAACTATTTCCTTGGAAATTGTACGAAGAATTAGCAGCTTCTCCTCAGTCTGTGTTGCTTTTCGTTGAAACGAGAAAACACCTAGCGGAGAAATAATTATTTTATCCATGCACAAGCGTTTCATTTCCGTATTTTGTGCACACGTGCGTCTACATCGAAATGGTAGCCCATGAACACGCCTGAATAGCGCGTCCCAAAAAAAAGATACTGTCTCGATTTACAATCTTAAATTTAAATATCAAATTAAATCTCACATGCAATAATGAATGGAGGTACATCGTATTTTATTTTTCTATTTAGAAAGCCAAGGGAAGGTTATGTACAACATCACTGAAGATGATTGCCGTGGTGAAGAAGGTAAGGTGCAAGATGCAAGCTAGTAATTTTTATACAAATAAGCAACATGTATACAATAAATTCGAAAATCAGAATGGACAATAATCATCCTACTCATTTAATACTATTTACGGGGTCCATGTAGATTATTATTATGGCCGTCCATTCTCGCCACTGAGCCTTGAACTGTTCTGAACTGAACCTTTATAAGTTCCTCAGTATACCAGTTGGCCAATACCAGTCTTTGTCCCGTTGAATTTTGACGCACGCGCATACCTAACATTAATGAACACCGACCATAGAGTAGAATTAGCACCCTCGAATTATGCAGAGATAGTTGTATCACTAGTGGATGACAATGCGTATTTCAAGGGATTAATTGATGATTCATTTGCAGGAGGATGCTCATTGACACCGTGTGGTTCTAACGGTTACTGCACAAACACCAACGGTTCTTACTTCTGCCAGTGTGCATCAGGTTTCACATCATCGGACGGTGGACGAACTTGTACAGGTTGGTATTGCACAGTATGTATATTTACACGATTAATGACCGGCTTCATTTTCAATTTTTGTTTTTCACAATGTTGAAAGGAAAGTGGTGCAATGTCAACATTAACATACTATATAATGATAATGGTTTGTTTAAATGTTCATTTGCATGTTTTGAGCAGAGCAAAATGATGAGTAAATCCCGCAAATTTAGTTCGCTTGAAACTCATTCATACAGTGCATGCTTAAAACGTAGCTATTAATGTTTACATATTCGTTGAATCCTTCGGGCGCAGGATATCCTAAGGAAAATGTATTTTAAACAATATTTTCAGCAACGAAGTGCCCTGTGGGTTGGCAGGCATTCGATGGACTCTGCTTTTATATCAGCAATGGCGTTGCGACATCATGGAATAGTGCGAAAGACAACTGTCGTGAACGTGGCGGCCATTTGGCAGTTCCAACCAACACGAAAACGAATAATTATCTCTATCAGGTTATTAAGCAACATAACGTCTTCGCAGCGTGGATTGGCGTGTACCGAAGATCAGGAAGAGTGTTTTACACAGTGGGTGAAGAGAAGATCTCGTATAAAAACTGGAATAGATGGGAGCCAAACAATGCTGGTGGGCAGGAGAACTGCGTCGAAATGTTAAACAGGGAAACAGGGAAATGGAATGATCGGAGATGTAACTTCAGCGGTCGTCGTTACCTTTGTCAGCGGTGTCTGTGAATATACGAGAGCAGCTGCGATGGAAAAGCTTTTTTTTCCGATAAAAAGAAAATACGGCAACGAACTTTACATTGAAATATTAAATCAGAAAAATTTGTTTTTGTTTTTTTCAGTAATACGTAGTCAATCTTTTGTAGTGTTAATCACCTTGATTCGAAATTAAAATCAATATGAACGGCATTTCAGAGCATAAAATTATCTTTTTCAAACTGATTCCATTTCCCCTGAATCATAAAACCAAACAAATTGGAATGCCATTTGATTAATTATTTTAAAATAGGAATCTAGTTTTATTAAATAAACAAGCGCTAAAGAAGATATAGCTCAATCCCAAATAAAAATTTACCCGTAATTAATTAAACTAATTACAGGATACACATTAACTTTCACGACCCAACGTTTCGACACTCCGGTCTAGTGTCTTCATGGGGGGTGATCTGATGTTGAAACTCGGTTCCTTATATACTATAAAAATGGGTACGCAATGCGTACATGTGGGTAGCCTGTAAAGCATTATTAACTGCAATATTTTTAGTCTTATGCATGTTCTAATGCTATAGACAACGCGCTATAGTTAGCTGGTTGAATACAGTTATAACGAAGTCAATTAATTACACAATCTATACATTATAATATTTTATTGTATTAAATACATTTTACGACAGACTAAAACATATATAAAAGCATTTTTACAAGAGATAAGAAATGAAATTTTTTTAAGCAGAATAAGTGAACAGAACAAAAAAGAGAGTAAGGTTCCGGGATGGTGGCATACATCGTCTGATAACATAAAGCTTAGTTTAGAAGGAGAAAAAGAAGGTTTCAGACTTTTTCAAATTATTTCGTTTTGATGTTCCTTGATTATCAGCATGTCTTTGTCACATACAAGATTGGTTCTTTTGTTGATAAATCAATGTTATAGTTATGTTAATAGTCAATAAAGGTCAAACTTTATTGTTCCATTAAGATTATACCACTTGTTTGCCAAAGTTTATTGACAATACGTTTCACGATTATAACTGAAGCTGATAGCATGATTTCATTGATCCAGTAGGAAGGTACAGGTGGTTTGCAATGTTGATTACAGATAACTTACCAGCACCAATTAGCTGGACATAATAGCACCAGTTCGTAGATCCAATAACTGCGTGACTTTTTCAGAGTTTAAATTTATCAGTTGACAATATCTTATCCGTGTGGTAATCAGTCCGACAATCAGTCAACATTGAATGCCATGAATCATCATTGATATAAATGTGTATTGCTCAGTAGTAGTTACCATGAAGGTATGAGTAGCATTTACAAGTAAGGTTACCAGAGAACTTTGTTTTTGTTTGGCATTCGTTGCTGCGATGAACAGATTACAATTGTGGAGAGATTTCTGGAAAGAGGAACGAGGATTTCCGATATATGTGTTATGGTCTTTTTATCTTCGGATTAATTTAGCGTTGATCCACGCGGTTGGCAACAAGCAACGCTGACATTTTTAAAACGTCTTTGTGATTGTAGCTGATTCAGACATGTAAAAAGCAAAAACTCGCGTTATCAAAGAAACAAACGCATATGTATAGCTAGTATGCAATACGAATCTATTATTTACCTTTAAATTATTAGTGTTTCAGCCTCGACATCGTGTGAATAATTTGAAAATATGCCACCGGAACCTAAAAATAAAGGGAAATGGTCAAATTGCATGAGAAAAGAAAATGAAAAAAAAACTCAAAATTAAATGCTTACCTTTTGTTAAATTGGAGTCAGGCCAATAAATATTGGCCTGTGTTCATCTAACCATGTCAATACTATGGTTGTTCTTGTAACATGCTAACGCTATAGTCGGACGTGATCACCTCATTACCTCGGTTCATCTTACCATGTCAATACTATGGTTTTTCTTGTAACATGCTAACGCTATGTCTCAATGTGAATACCTCCTTACCTTTAGAGAGGCCCAAATTGCTTTGTGATCACTAAAGTAAGTTTCAAGAGTACCTGCCTGGATATCCTCTTCAATCAAATTCGTATACAGATGATCAATCAATGTTCCATTATATGTTGTAGAACTAGTTATAAGTTGCTCGAGGCCATTGGTATTGATCATAAGATTGTACAGTGATCTTCGTTCTATCTCATCAAGCCAGTTGACATTAAAGTCTCCAATGATTATAACCTGTGGAGAAGGATGTTCCTCCAATGTCGTAGAAATGGCAGCCAAAAGAGATGATAATGCAAGTGCTGGAGATCTGAATATTCCAATTATAATTAGGTCTGGACGTTCGACCATCTTCATAATAGTTACCTCGATCCCATGACAGTTTCTTGCACAAGGATATCCAATAATCATAGGATGTTTAGAATAAACAGCTGTTCCATGATATGGACGGTTGAGATTTGAAACGTCGTCATTTCTGAATAACTCATGGCCTTCAGTTGCGTACATTTCACCAGGATGTTCTTCACGAAATCTCGTTTCGGTAAAAATATATCAGCAGACGTATAATTAATATCTTTTCGTATATCTTCAATGTGTTTGTGCAAAGATCTTGCATTAAGATAGCAAATTTTTAAATCAGTGGGACTCAGCATGTACAACGGAGTAAAACAAAGATCTAATTTATACTCATTTCTCAGTAAGTGCATTTCTTCTACGACTTTAGGATCAACGGAAATCTTACTTTCGCAAAGATCAGTTATATATAGCCCTTCGATTGTTGTTACTCGGCTTAGAGCGACGTAATGAATATGAGGAATTGCTCTTCTTGTATTTAAATTAACGACGATTTGTGACTGAGTATCACCTTGTGATCGATGAACCATTTTCGCGGCAGCTGGCCTCAAAGGAAACCACTTGAGCAGACTTCGTTTTACCTACAGCAAATTGCGTTGTAACAGGTCTTATTGGTGTCCAAGTACTTAGTATATAGTCGTCAAACTGAACCTAAACGATGCCAGAAGGTTTAGTATTATCAGTCAATTGAACATGCTTAATGACATTACTCGCACCGTTTGTCGGACCATCATCAGTGCGTATATTCACCGCAATTTCTGTTCGTTGTCCGACAGCAATATGCAGTTTATAAGCCAACTGTTTTGAATTTGTGGAAGGAACATGTGGTATTTGTCTCATTATCTTTTCTTTCAGTTCAGCTGAACAGGCTCCAATTACGCTATCTTGTGCCCTGATTATGTATTTATCACGATTATCAAATGATTGATAAACTATATCATTGTATTCATCAACTAAAGCATTTTGAATGAATAAACGTGGGGCTTCTTTGGGGCAAGCACTCTCTTCAATACATCTTTCCTTTAGTTTTTGTAGATCACTCGGAGTATGATTACCTTCACGAAGTCGATTAAGTATCTCGGCCAAAAGCTTGCTTTCTCTCTGTCGCATGATTTCATCAAGCTCAAACATTCTAAAATATTTTCTCCATAAGTTCGGGGCATCATAAGAACTTAAAGACTGAACATATGTAAAAATGTAACCATCCATTACAGGTTTGAGTTGAAATAAGTCACCTATTGTGATTATATATGCTGACCCAACCGAAATCTTCTTTACTACCTTTTAAATCTTTCAAACGGTTGTTCAATTGAATGGTGAAAATGCTGTTGCTAACCATTGATATCTCATCAAGCAATATTAACTTTAATGAACTTAGTTCGCATCTCATCGTATTCAGTCTTCCAGAATCTAATGGTTTATAATTTTTCAATGACTGACTGGCTGGAATGCGCAAGGCACTGTGAATCGTGTTACCTTTTATAAGATATGCAGCTTTTCCTGTTAGAGCAAGCAATAATATATTAACACGATGAAAATCGTCCCCTGCTCGTGAATTGTAATACTTCAATGCTGCCTGGTATATCGATTTAATAAGGTGAGACTTTCCGACATCTCCGCTTCCACTGAGAAATGCATAAAATGGCTTTTCTGATGTTTTTATCAAATGCAGCGCATGATAGAAGAATTCTCTTTGCTTCTTATTTAGCAGCTGAACTAAGGTTCGATATTCGTTATCTTGCATTTCATTTAAAATCAACGGCTCAATATTTGGTAAAGAAGACGGAATGCCCAAATTTTCAGCAAGATGATCAAATGTTTCGTTTAAATCAGGATGTGTATCCACGCATCCTTCATCCCGATCATGTCGTTCAACATCTTGTGCCACAGGTGCAATGGTATCAAAAGCATCATCTTCACATTGGTCTAAATGATGTCCAATTTCATTTTTCAAGTCTTCACTACAAACAGCATATTGTTCCATTTGCTTACTGATTTCTTCATATCGAGCTAAATAGTGTTCTTCAAAACAGGAATAATTTCCCATCAAATCGGTTTGCTCATTCCGCCAAGGCGTAAAGAGCATAATTAACTCGCGATAATGTTTTTCAGGTTGAGTCTCTTTATTGAACCAGACACTTCGGATTACTCTAGCTCGAGATCTTTTCCTTATTTTCATATTTTCAGGAGTTTTTACAACGTGAAGATTATCGTCATTTATTAACAACTCGTCGTCATTATCTTCATCATTATTTTCTAATGGAAGATTATCAACGTCAGGCTTGTTTGTTTTCCTATATGTTTTTTGACCACTAGAGTCGTACCATGCTGCCCAATCAGCCAGCGTCACATTTTGCAAGCAATCAGGTCGTTCTACATATCTTTTTAAAAGACCACCAGACTGAATTTCTTCTGATTCTTCAGACATTTTCTCTATTTCACTCAATGGTTTAAGTAATTCGACTCTTTCAGAAGGAGGAGATGTGTTAATGAAAATTACACTACGTGACGATTTTCGCATTGGAAGTTGCAAAACAATATACACGGCTTCTTGTGCACATATTTCAACAGAATTCAAAAATTTGTTGCCAATATCACGAACTTGCTGTTTGATATTTGTATTACCTTCTTTCGCTTCAGCACAAGCTTTACGCAGTAATTCACTCATTCCTTTTTGACCTTTGGAAATATATGATACAATATACATTGCACATGCATATACATCTAAGACATATTGAATGTCCATATTTGCTCGCCATGCCCGAAGG